TGTCCAATTTCCAAACAAGCAAAACAAAGTTAAATATAAGGTTAGCAGTTTCTATATTAAAATTTCTCTAAATTCTTAATTATCACTGAATCAATGAAATGTCTCTCAAATGTGAATTCCTAAGATTTAAAAAGTGTTATGACATGTAAATACTTTTAAAATCCCCTTATTTCCAATGAAATTTGTACTTCTTTTAGCAAGTAATAAGGTGAATATATAATATTTTTTAAACTTTCAACAAAAATTTCCTGGTCTATGTTTCCCATGCTTAGCACTAGGAAAGAATTCTTTCTCATTATATAATCTTACATAATTGTTGAAGATTTCTAGAGTGCTATAATAAACAATGACTTCAACCTTTTCTTTACAAGAAAAAGAATTTTAGCTTGTCTTCTTGCAAAAAGCAGTTATCAATTTCCTGTGCGTATCTCAAAGCCTACACTAGAATGCTAGGAAGATGGCAACTTATAAGTCACATAAGTCTTGTCAGTTTTAGATCCTCAATTTTACTTAGGATTGTTAAGGTGTGCATTTTCTCCTTGGTTTCCTACAACTTAAAAAAAAAATAAAAAAAATTTTTCAACACTCACCCAAATCCCCAAATTTGTATTGAAATACCTACAAGCAATCTGTACATATTTATAGTCAACATTATAAGACCCAGTAGTGTGCTGATGAAAGGGACTCTGAAAGCCATGCCCAATGAGTAAACAGTTAGAAAGTGGTACAAGGCAGTGAATGTGTGAGCAAAGGATAGAGCCCCATTCTTCATCTCTCCCTTCTTTATCTCTTTCTATTCTGGAGTGTCTGGAAAATCACCAACAGCTCAACTAATTCCAATTTTCACAGACTGTCGGGGTTTTCCAAAACCAAAGAAGTGGCAATGTGATTCCAAGAATTTTGGTTCTTCATCAAAGTTTCATTATGTACCAAGGACACAAATGCTCTTTAAACTTCGGAGGCAGTCTTGCTGAGTTATGGGAATTAGCTACTATTTGACCTTCAAGTGATATGGTTTTATGGCCCACCCTTCCTACAAGACTGTTTTCAGATAACCATATGCTTCCTTCACTATCTCCAATGACCAGCAGTCTGTTTCCCATACAGCTTGAGTCCACTTTGGTCAGCTAACATGCCAGGCATGGTCATGAATGAATACAACAGTACAAATGCATGGCTGCTCTCCAAGGAACCTGCAGTGTTGAGTGATGGGAGGAGGACTTAAAATCCAACTAGGGTACCACAGGAACTAAGGGACTCTAAGGACACAGAGCCAGAAAGTGTCTAGAAAGTGTCCTAAGACATAGCAGTCAACAACCCAGGTGGTAGTTTTGTGTGAAGCTAATGTGGAGTTGCAAATATTTCTTCATCTTTGTTCATCTTTTTTGTTGACTAAAAAACTCTCATTATAAAAGTTAGCATACTGTAAAACTTCAAATAGTAATATAACAATATTTAGAAAAAAGTAAAGTCAGGGCTGGGGATTTAGCTCAGCGGTTCCGCTGCCTGCCTTGAAAGTGCAAGGTCCCAAGTTCGATCCCCAGTAAAAAAAAAAAAAAAAAAAAATAGTAAAGTCCCTTTGCCCAAATCCACAGGAGATGCCATCCAATGTAGACATGCCCACCACTACCGGTTGCTTATGAGTCAGGGAAAGCCTTTCAGACAGCACAGTAGTGCTATGGTTCACATTTAGGAATCACCAGAGATAAGCTGCAGGTGTGTGGGTTAAGCATCGAGGCTTCAGGTAATAAAGATGCCTTGTGGGCCCCAAGAAAAGGCACCCTGAAGGCAGAAGTCCAGGGACAGCTACATGAAGTGCATTCAGTAGAATGGGAGGAGTTATTAGAGTTGTAGACTCAAATGTGGTGGCTGGTGGGCCAGAAATTGAGGTGAAGGAAATGAAAGCATACAGGCTTCCACATGTGACAGTGAGATCATGTGGTACTGCTAAGGACTGTGTGGAGAACAGAAAGGCAATGGGCTTAGAGGAAAGAAACACTTATCTTTGACATGCTGAGTCTGAGGAGAGGTGAATAATCAAATATTCTTAGCTTCTCAAGTTTAAAGAAACATTCTCATATCTGTTTTTGAACCAGCTTTATGCTCTAACATGGTTAATGATATGTCATAATATCTGCATTGGTTTATTTTGGTTAGAGTAACATAATATCTTGATCAAACAAAGAAAGGAAATGTCTACAGAACTAAAGTTTAAAAATAAACTTCAAAAATTACCAATAATATACTTTATAAAATATCATAAATCTGTTGGTATAGTTTCTTTTCATTGTCATTGTTATGATGTCAGAACAAAGTAACTGAGGTCATATAAATGTCTTTATGTCCTCTTGACAGCTTGAGGAGGGCTGCTGAATTACTATCTCTGAAAGTGTTCAAAAACTTAATCACCAGTGGAAGAGGGTAACATATCCTCACATCTGACCCAGTTTATCACACGTTAGTATCAGACTTCACCCTCAAAATAAGGCAAAATGGAAGATTTATAGGACTAGGTGGTTCTCCACTGCAGGTGAGGTGTTCTGGATTTTCAGAATAGAGAACTGCCAGTTACCACTAGATCGATCTGTGGATAAGCATCATTTCTGGACTTGAGGCGCTAGCATGTATACATAAAAGATAGCTATTAAACAAGAAAAAAAGGAGAAAAGCCTAGAAGTCTACCTGATGTGCAGACAGGAGTTAGAACCCTGCTGACATGAAAATCTGTCCTTCTGCAGGAAAGCAGTTCCCAGTCTGCACAAGAATACACTGCCCATCTTCTTGGCAGCCCGATCTGTGTCAAGACACAGTTGTAACCAACTTTCTTAGAAAAGGAGATATGACTGTTTTTTTCTAGCCATGAAAAAAGAAATAGAATAATTCTGCTTCTGGAAGTGTGCATAAGATACAAGAAACTCTTGCTTTTGAACAAAGTAAAATTTGGGAAAAATAAAAGTTGCTTCCCATCCTCATGCATCCGCAGAGAGCCGAGCTCCTCCTCTCTTCTGAAAACACATTTATCTACTCCTTTCTCTCTTCTTGGGGCTCTAAATTTGTTCTAGTAATTTCCTAACATGTTAATAAATTCATAGCTGTGACTAATACATTTTCATGAGCCATATAAGGATGTATTTAGAATGCTCTAGACTCTATACTACACATGATTCAGAACTTACATATGCCACCACTACAATTCACTCATTTAAATTTAACGAATTTTAGTATATTCATTGTTTTAGAACCATCATAACAATCAATTTATAAAATTTTCTCTCCCAGAAAAGAAACCTCTGTATCTTTTGCTATCATGGCAATCACTAATCTGTTCTCCATCTCCATAGATTTTCTTATCTTACGCATTTCATATAAATAGAATCATATAACATGTGGCCTTTCGTTACAGACTTCTTTCACAGAGCACGCCATTCTCAAGGTTCACTCACACTGTAGCATTTGTCAGTGCCTCACTCTTTTTTGTGAATGAATAATATTCTACTCTGTGCATAAACCACTTGGGTTGTTTCCACCTGTTAGCTATTATGTATGAATCCACATGTACAAGTTTTTGTGTAAATATATGTTCTCATTTCTCTTGATTATATGCCAGGGAGTGTACTTGTTTCATCATATGGTGAGTCTGTTTAATGCCTGAGGCACTCCCAGTTTTCTCCAAGCTGCCCCTTCTGGGTGTCCACCAGGGGGTGGATGGGTTACAACTTCTCTAGTACCTGTATCATCTGCCTTGTGGCAGCTGCCATCTAAGTAAGAATGTATCTTGTTTCTTGACTGTGATGCTTTATGGAAAAAAGACTTTTCTTCTTTTGCAATAAACTTGTTAGCCATAATCAATAACTCCTTACTTTAAAACATGAGGTCAGATTTTTTTCTTTCTTTTTATTTTTTGGTACTGCAGATTGAACTCAGGACCTTGCGCTTGCAAGGCAGGCAGCAGAACCACTGAGCTAAATCCTCGGCCCAAGATTTTTTTCTTTTTACTTTGTTTGGAAGTACAGTTTTCTCTAATTATTTACTAATATGACCCAGTTTTATAAGGTCTTTGAGGAAGCCAATTTGATCACACTGCTTCTATAGCTGGCTTGGACATTTTACACGATGATGTCAAGAACTTAGATGAAAACAGTGTGTACAAAACTGCATATAAAATATGCTAAGACCACATAGGAAGTAGAATAATAATGAATTTTACCAGTCTGGATATGAAGGAATGATGTAAAGTTAGAAATGACTAATTTACCAGATTTAAGATTATGCCATTTCTGTAGATTTTGAAATTATTTACATCCTTAATACTCTTTTCAAATAGATACGTTATATTTAAATTCTAATAAATGAAAATTTAATATGCAAATGTTAGGATTCATTTGGAGATAAGATGAAATTGAATAGTATAGTATATAATAGTCCCAAATTTCAACAGCTTTATTAAAATATGGCTTTGTTACAAGTTAATTTATAAAATCAGTAAAACTGATTTTTCTTGTCATTTTCTGTGAACTATTCTCAGGTGTTCTGTTAAATATTGACACATGAGGGGCTGGGGATTTAGCTTACTGCTGCTGCCACCTGCCTCACAAGCACAAGGTCTTGAGTTTGATCCCTGGTACCAAAAAAAAATATTGACCAATGAGGGCAAAAGGTCTATATCTAAAGGGCCCGAGTGATGCAAGAAGGCCACATGTTAGAAGGAGCAGATGGTTTCTGATCTTCAGGAAGAGCAGGCTCTGGAAGTCTGGCTGGGACACAGTCCCTTCACTCTATGCACTACAGTGTAAGTCCTCATGCCCACTGAGCCCAAGTGAAAAGCACGAAGATCACAGCTTTGCACTCTGAAAAATAAATTCTGAAACCAGATTCTTTTCTTTTTTTTTTTTTGGTACCGGGGATTGAACTTGAGACCTTTTGCTTGCGAGGCAAGTGCTGGAACCACTGAGCTAAATCCTGGGCCCATGAAACCAGATTCTTTAAGGGGTGTGACTCACCTCATCAGGGCTGGATGCTTGGTAGGTGCGGTTCTCGTCACTGAAGTCTTGGTCTGCTTCAGCAAATTCAGTTTCCCCAGTGATGCCAGCCCGAGCCTCATATACAGGGGTCACATTATGACAAAGAGCAATGGCTTTCACTGCTTCATGGATCCGACTGCTGACACTTTTCCTAACTTTGGGAGCTAAAGATTGGGCTCTTCTTGGTGGTGTAGAACTGGAGTTGTTTCCACTTGCTTGAGTATGAATCTTTAAAGCAGGGAATGTCACAAAAAATTAGAGATCAAGAACTAGGCGGTTTACCCAGGAACTATCAATCTATATTATTTTATAAACTATGATAAGCAAGGAATAAAAAATGTGATTTGATTTGATTCTATGACCTACACAGCACTCATTAATAAGATTTACTTTTTGGTCTTAAATTATATAAAATGCTCGGATATTTCCAGGTTGTCAAATATACCAAAATATTTGTTAACATACTTAAAACTAACAATCTCCTTTTATTTTATTCACTTCAACTACAACTTTGACTTGTTGAGTCCTCAATAATTCCTGTTTATTCACTCCTTCTAAAAACAGTCAGTTAAAGAACAAAATGGAATGGTATGCTCACAAGGCTTTCAGTTTTCTGAAAAAATCCTGTAAATAAAATAGGATAAAGCTAAAAGCAAAACAGAATTTTTAAGAATCTTCCCTTACTAACATACAGCTTGTAACAGTCTCTGAATTGGGATGGTCAGGTTTTGTAGCTAACAATAATTAGACCCATTAGTGGGTGCTTTCAGAGGAAAATGGCCCAGTCCTAAATCAGAGTCTTGTCATCAGATTAGGCTATGTGTGAGTGAATTATCACTTCCAATGTGGTGATTTTAGCTATTCCTCTCCTAACATTGCCCTGAGCTGGACAGGACTGCCCACACTTTTCTCAGTAACGTCAGTGAGCTCAGGATATTCCTTAGAAACCACGGTCTGGTGTTTGGATTGGGGTACAGAACCACTGAACCATGAGTCCTCTACCCATCAAATCACAGTAGTGCCTAATGCTGGGCTGGGGCTGCTCTCAGCAGCCCAGCAGCCCTGTATCTGTACTCAGCTCACATTGTCACCACTCCTTGGTGTTTGAAAGCTCAGCCACTTTCACCTTCTGAATTATGTTATGCTTACTGATGCTTGCATAATTTAATTTCACATAGATTCCATTAAAGACTATGCCCTCTAACACCAAATGCTTCCAGTGGGAAAATATAATCAGGTTATAAAAGATCTGTGCTACACAACAGTGGATTATTGTCATCTTAATAATAAAACAGAACACAAACAATGAGTGACATCAATTTCACATACAAAGTATTGTCTGACCAGCTGACAGACAGCTTTTAGTAAAAATGATCTTTAGGGCCGAATATTTAGCTCAGTGGTTCCAACCGCCTGGCTTGCAAGCACAAGGTCCCGAGTTTGATCCCCAGTACCGAAAAAAAACAAAAAACAAAAATGATCTTTAAAATCCTCTTTGATATAAATATTAAATATTTGTTATTTCCACATAATAATTCTTCATTTTTTCTCCTTTTAAGTTTTTCTTAGTAAAATAACTTATTTGGAGGTATAATAATCTAATCTGTGGATCATGTAAATGCAATAAAAAATGTGTTTAAAAACATTATTACTGAGAATTACTTTAATCTAGACACAGATTCCTAGAAGGAAAGCTTTATTCCTTTTTCTTGTTTTAGATTTTTCTTCCATTAATAAATATTCTATGGCTGGAATTATGGCTCAGTGGTTCAGTGCTTGCCTATCATGGGTAAGGCTCTAGGTATGATCCCCATCACCACAAAAGATAATGTAGCTCAGTGGCACCAGACCTGCCTGGCAAGCACAAGGTCCTGAGTTCACCCCCTGTACCAGGAAAAAACAAAACAAAATAAAACAAAACTTTTTTGGGCTGGGGATTTAGCTCAGTGGCGCTGTGCCTGCCTCGCAACTGCAAGGTCCTGAGTTCGATCCCAGGTACCAGACCAAAACAAAAAAAAGGTAATTTGAAAATAATAATATTCTAGATTACAAAATACCTGTATCTGGCTCCGGTACCCTCACAGGGAGGACCCAGCTCCTCCTCCTGCCGCCCCAACACCCAGCACCATCACTGCAGAAGGCCATGTGGCCCCGGACCTGGTATCTGGATCCACATTACAGAGGTGCTCGGGGCTATAAAGGCCACAGCTATGAACTCCAGAATATAGAGCAGAAGTGAACAACAGAGAGAGGGCCTCTTTGAGGCTCCTTGAGGAAAACTGAAGTGCACTGGGAGAGTGAAAAATATCTTTGCAATAAGGGTGCACTGCTCCACTGTGGTTGGTATGTTGGTGGGCTCAGCACCTCCCACTGGAACCCAGACTTGCTTCAGGGGAAAGGCAGCTGAAACCAGCAGTAGGACCTTGCAGAGTTTAATCCTGAAGGAGGTCAGGGAGCTCAACTTGGGCCTTGCAGCCAGAAATCAGTCTGAAGCTCAGTGGATTACGGCTCACTTGCTGAAACTAATCAACTTAGATTTGCACAATGCTGCTCACATTGTGTATTATGACAGCAGAGACAGACCCTGAAGGAGGGCTTTTTTTCTCTCTCTCTCCCTTCTTCTTTTTCATTTCTCTCCCTTTTTGTTCTCGTTCCTGTCCTATTTCAGATATTTTTCTCCCTCTTTCATTCTCTCAATTGTCATTATTTTTGTAGGAAGGTGAATACAGTTTTTAGTTTCCCTATTGCTATTAGACTGTTCTGTTCTTGTCTTTGTTCCTTCACTCTGTCTTTTCCTTGTCTTCAACAGTTTTCCAAAGTTTGTGTGATCTTCCTGTGTCCTCTAGCCTAACTTCTAACTTTTTGCTCTCCTTCTATTGCTCTATCCCTCTCTCCGCAGCTCCTTCTATGTCCTCATCCCAAAGTGTAAATTTGCTATATTGAAGGGTTTACTTACTACAAACATATTTTGGGCTTGTCCTTGATTTTGATCTAGTTCATGCAGTTAAAGGTGACAGATTAATAGCTACCACAAATTGTCATTTTCTAAGAGGTACTTGATGCTATTGTGTTGCTGATTGTATCACTTGGGCTAAGGTATCGTGATTGATCCTTCCTGGTATACAGTTGTCCTTCCTGGTATACTGAAAACGAGATTGCCTAAGAGTCATTAGAGACTCAAAACCTAAAGTCCAGCTATACCTGGAAGACACCTCTGAGAAGGAATCATTCTGTAAGGGTTCTAAATACAACCAATAAAGATACTCACAATAAACGATATTGAAGTATCAACACAGGAATTAAACCAAAAACTGCACCAACAACAAAAATAGAAATGAGAAGACACCTAAACAAGGCACAAACCCAGACTTCCAGCTCACCAAAGGCAAATTCTGGGGGCAATGAGGTGGAAAAATCTGATAATCAACCATCTGGACACCCTGAACTGATAGTATGGGAAGTAACAAAATAGATGAATGAGGCTCTAGAAAAATTCAAAACAAATAATTCCCCAGATAAGTACAAAGATGGTGAGCAGAATGAAAGATATGATTAGAGACTCTAGAACAGAAACAGATAAAAAAAATAGATGATCTCAGGACCATGATGGAAGCCATGAATGCCCAGCATAGGAAAGAAATAGAAACAATGAATGCCTAACATAGGAAATAAATGCAATCCACAAAACAGATTCAACCACATATTCAGGCGATTAAAACCTCTACTGAAAATATTCACAGCAGAATGAGCCAATGTGAAGACAGAATATCAGATATAGAGGACAGGATTGTGGTTAGTGACATGAAAAGATATTTCTTGAAAATAGTAAGGGACCATGAGATATTGATCTAGCAGCTGCTAGATGACACAAAGAAGAATAACATAAGACTGACAGGAGTCCATGAAAAAAAACAGGAGAAAGTACAAATAGTATAAAAAAACTGTTCACAGAACTAATGGCAGAAACCTTCCCAATCACAGGAAAAGAATCTGACATACAGATAAGTGAGGCATATAGGACTCCAACTAGCCATGATCAAAATACCTGTATCTAAATAAATTACATCCAAATGATTAAGATGTTTAGTTTTGTATGTGGTTGTATGTTTGTGTGTACATGTATACTTAAGTATGTAAAACATTACATACAATAAATATATATCTAAGATTTTCACTTGACAACATCTCAAGAGTAATGCTTATGCTAGACTAGCATAAACAGAAGAGGTTTACAGAAAAAACCTGAACGTACTACTGATAACTGAATCCAATGCTTGAATTCTGTCAAAAGTATAAAGACTGCAAAGGAAAAGTGCAATTCGGTCTCCTATTGCAAAATCCTGCCTGAGGCAAACTGATGTAAATACATCAGAGGTGTGGCCCTCTGAGACCTAAACTGTGAACACCCAGATGAACTAACTACACCTTTGAAGGTTGGGGCTTTATTCCATATGACATGGACTATTGTACAGTATTCAAAGCAAACCAACAAAAAGGCAGAAAAGCAGCTTGAGAAAGTAACAATTTCTGACACAAACTACAATCTTGTACCTGGCATTTTAAATAAATTTCCTTGAATTGCTACATTTAATTATATTAAATCAATTTTCAAATTATGACAGGTAAAAAGAAATCTAAATCAATGAGATATAAACACTATATGGGGTCAGTGCCACATAAACCCTCAATTTGATTGAAACATAGTATATGCATGCACAAAGGCCATAACATGACTAACATCAAGGGCACAGAATGGGAGAATGAGCCAGAGCCAGGGATGGACTGTAAAGAGTGCCTATCTGTCTCTTCTGAAGAGGACCTGACATCTAGGCTGTATCCTCAGGTTGCAAGCAAGTAATTCTGGTTCTTATAATCTTAGATGGCTCTTGTGAGGCAATAATTCTTTTAAAAAAGTTTTTATTGATTAGGGACACATAATAAATAAAGATAAAATGATATTTGAGCTTCACTTCAAAATAAAAAGAGAATTGTTATAGTGAAAACAAAATCAGTCATGCATCAATAAATACTACTCAAGTTAAGTAACAGATATATGATGACTCATAGTACTGTGGTATCTATTTTGCTTACTGAAAAAGATGAAAAAATTTACCTTTAAAATTTTAAGAAAATTTTATTAATTACAGAAAAAAAGGCATTCGGAAACATACTGATATATTATTAAACTGAATATCCTTGGACCAGGCTGGGGATTTAGCTCAGTGGTGCCGCCGCCTGCCTTAAAAATGCAAGGTCCTGAGTTTGATCCACGGTACCAAGAAAAAAAACCCTGAATATCCTTCAAAATACTGTTAACACAGTAAATATTTACAAATTATTCAGTAAGAAAACAGTATGAATAAATGATTTAGGCCCATTATGCCTTCTACAACTACACTGACATAGAAATGCTCATTCAGAGCTGCTTGACTTAGAATTGATGACAGGCAACACAATAATAAAATAATCAAATCAAAGAAATAATCAAAGAAGATTGTTAATTTACAGATTATCACATAACAGACTCAGTTTAGTTCAAGTGTTAGATGCTCCAGAGAGAAGTGCACATTTGGAGGTAAATCTACATACCTGTAAGTAGGAATTCAGGAGATGGTTCTGAATCTCATCCATTGTGTCAGTTCCATAGGAAACAGTGCCCAGATGGAGCCGCTTAAATATCATCTCATTCTGGGTAAGAGTTCCTAAAATAAAGGCAATAACACCAGTTAATCCAGGCAATGTAAGAAAGGCCATACTGCTTTATATTCCTGATGTTGCTCTTCAGACCTTTGTGCAGCAAGGCCAGCATGCTGAGACACAAAGCACCTGCAGAATGTTCTTTGCTACCACTCCCACCTTGAGTGAGAAGCAAGAGTGAGAAGTTTTCTTCTTAGCAGTAAAGCTCCCCTATTAACAACTTTTAACAATGGTTCGGGCTCTAGTTATACGAAGAAAGTGTAGGCTGGTGGTGGTGAACCTATGGCACGTGTGCTGCAGCAGGCTGTTATCACCGAAAACTTTAAAAGGTTTGCCATCACTGGTCTAGGCTTTCCTTTGCAACTTAGATCTGTTATTTGGTACAAATGAAACTTTTGCCTGTTCTGAAAGAGGCAGGCTTAAAACTAGAAAACTGAGTCATCAGCTCCATAATTACAATACAGATGTCTTCAGAAAGACATCAACTATCCCTGAATTGGTACTTATCAGTTTTAAGAAAATCTATTTTGAAAACTTATTTTTACTTGAAGTAACATACTCCAGATGTATTTAACTCTTTGCACATATTCATAAAATTTGGAATGACAGGAAATTTGTGAAAGAGGATAGTTTCCTTAGTTGAGCTAAAGGAGAGCTAACAAGGTGTGCTTATTTTATGCTTGCTCCTCAGCAGACCACAGCAGAATCATCAAAAGGGTTATTTACCGGGATCGCCAGTAAAGCTAGGCCATATATCATACATCACACTTAGTTTACAAATACACATATAACAGATGCATAAACTTGCTTACCTGGTTTCATAGAAGTAAAGCTACATAGGAAAGTTTAACCTCCCTACGAACATGAATATAATGTGCTGCAATACACTGTGCTTGAATCCTGACTTCCCTGGAGGGTTCTGCAGTTGTCTCCAAGAACTGATCTCTGAAGTAGTGGCAAGTGTAAACATGCACAACATCTCCAGCAATCAAATGCAATGGAAGTTAGTCTTTTTAAACACTCACAAAACACCCAAATAATACTAACTTCTTTTTTTCTTTGCCACATATGATACTGAAAATATCTATTGATCTCATGGTTAGGATTTGTATTCAGAGTAAGAAAAGGCCACTGATTCACAGACTACCACTAGAACCCACTTTAAAAGAAAAGTCCGTCTCAAAATAAAAGGGGCTGGGGGAAGAGGGGATACAGCTCAATGCAAAGGCCTTGAGGTCAATCCCCAGTTCTGGAAAAAAGAAAGTCTACATTTCACATTATTTAGACACTGTTTTGATAAAGACTCTTACAACAAATATATTACAGTTTTATAAATTCCAAAGAGTTGCTACTATTGGGGATGTTTGTTGGTTTTATATGTTTTACAGAGTTATGTACAGACCCTTTAAAATGGCTGTGGTCTATACGCACTGAATAGATGCCTCCTCAGTTTCATAAATGTGAATGGAAAAGAGACAAATTTGTATGAGTAGTTTATGACATTTTCATTTAAAAAGTAGAATATTTATTTAAAATTCCTTAACATTAATTTAAAATATGAGGTTATAATAAATAACATAGCAACAATCAACCTTCCAAACAAAATAGGGAAGTCCTGTGAATGGCTTATATAAAGTATCTAATGAAATATGACTTCTATTATTACCGTCAAAAGATATTGAAATTTTGTTAATTTATAATAGAATAAAGTTAACCTGTTGTGTGTCCAATGAGGTTTTAAAAAAATTTCACTTAAAAATATTATGTAAATTATGAATATCTTACCAGATTACATGACATGACTTATGAGTTTTCAGATTTTTTTCTCTGATATTCAGTGTGCAGCATAATAATTTTAGCAAGTAAAGGAAGTTTGCTATATTCTATGCAGTTTGTAAATGGTGTGATTAATGCCACTCCTTCAACCTAATTTTGTATGATGAGCCATTTCATATGTGCAGTAAAGTTAAAGGAATATTACAATTAACACTGATATACCACATATCAAGAATGAGCAATTCTTTAGGATTTTAGACAACCTATATAAATACCAAAACCCCTAAAAAAAATAAATAATACTGGCTTTCCATGGAGCCCCTTGCACTGTCTTTCTCACTGCCACTACAAAGTTAACTCAGACTGGAGACATGCCATCTCACAAGGCCAAAGGGCTGTGTGCACTGCCTTGTGGCCCAAGTCTGGCTGCCTCCAAGGAACTTTTCTGTGGTGCTAGACATGCACACTTCATGGCCACCCATGCACAACTCACATTTTTAGCCCCTTTTCTCTCAACATTGTGCACCTCTCCAGCTGGCAGCATCCTGATTCACTATGCTCCCCCCACAGAGCGGTGCCCAAGAAGGGCAAGTCCCTCACCACTCAGACTTAAGGCCACCAGAAAATGGCAGAGGGAGGACAGACTTCCTCTCACCACAGATACTACTGCCATTGCTGTCATCACATATCCTGTTTCCTTTCCTTGGATTTCTTCACTGAATCAACTTTGAAATCTCTCAATTCTACCTTAAAAACGTAGTATACATGGATCCCTCTCAGGCTTCTATTTTGGAACTCCTTGGTCCTGCCCTCTTCAACTCTTTTCCTGATTTATGACTCTTTCAGTCTCTTGAACTGTTTAATCTCTAATCTGTTTCTCACCAGTGCTATATTCCTAAAACTAAAATCACTTCATTTGGTCCTTGGCTTAAAAACCATCAGAGACTCTCCACTGTTTACACCATTAAATAAAACACTGCTTAGAATGGAAAATGTGCACAATGAAGCCTAGAGCTGCTCTTTCTGAACTGCTCAATGCCTTGGTCATCACTGTCCTCAACATGTGGTCACAGTTCTCAAATACTCATATTAACATGAATTTTAAATTACTCTGAATTCATGTAATATTACTCTGACCAAGATTCATTAAAAGGCATCACTACACATAGGAATTGGAGGCAGATGGCCTGGGTCCAAATTCTGCCGGTAATCCATGAGCTGTGTTACTTCATAGAATTGCTTCAAACTCTCCATGCCTCAGCTTGTTTGTAAAATAGAAAAAAGAATATGATAATGCATTAAGTGCCTAAAACACAAAGAACAGGAGAGGAAGTTTATTCTCTCAAGATCTATGGCTAAAGAAAAACTAGCAGGAAATGTTTGGGGAGGCAGGACTGCTCCAGAGAGGGGCCATGAATCTGGACTCAAAAGATAGGATTTTACCCAGTGATGATCATGGGACACAGCTCTAGGAATTGCCTAGTTCTGAGAATTCAGATATACTGTAATTAGTGGAAGGAAGGGACACAGGACTGGAGAGCAGACAGGTATGTACAAGAAGAAGACAGCCTATGTCATGTCAGGATACCAAGGAAAGCTCTCCTCCTGACATGACAAGGGCTGTACTCACCGTCTCCTCTCCCCATGTTAGGAAAGGTGTATGGTCTTTCCTGTAGGGTCCACCACTGCATGGGGCTGATAGAAAGATCTAGGCAAGGGGTTTTATAGAAGTAAGATTAAGAGATAGTAAGAAAGAGGTGAATTCATGAAATCTTTAGTGTGTTGAAAGAGAACCTACTGAACCTCAGAAGTGAACTTGGAGGTATTCAACAGGTCTAGGAGCATGCTTGACTTACTGCCTCTGCTCAGCCACTAGTTGTCAGTAATAAATGGCAACAAGAAAGTAGACATGTTCAGGGGAAGATGACAAAATAAAGACGGCAAGTTTGCTTCAGGAATTGGTGACCTAGTGACCACAGGGCAAATGAACAGAGAGGGCAACAGTCATAGACATAGTCCCTAACTTATGTTGGTTAGACTTATAATTTTTTGACTATAAGATGGTGAGAAAGAGATACAAATTAAGTAGAAATCATACTCTGAAGTTTTAACTTAGCTCTTTTCACAAGGGGAAACACCCAGCATTGTAGAGTGTTACTGTTACCAAGTTATGTTGTTGGTAGGTTAGGTGTATTGAGTGCATTGTTAACAGTATTATTGGGATAGGACTGTAATCCCTTGGCAAGTTGAAGAGCATCTGTACATGAAGATCCAGGGCTCAGGAGCAAGGTCTAGCCCCAAAGGTTGGGAAAGGATGTATTGTATTCATAACCCTTTGCAGAGCACATTATACCTGTTTTGATATTTCTGGTAACAATGCTGTTATATCATCTGTATATCTTTCACTTATGTCACAGGTGATAACTTATCATTCCCTTTATCCCTTACAGCTTCAAACAATGGGACTTCATAGTGGTACGACATACGAAGAAACCACTGACATTTTAATAGTATTTTATAGTTAAAAGTACTAAGGATTTTAATTTAGTATGTCATAGTGCTTTAAAAAATGGGGATCTCACAGCAACGTGGTTCAGTACAGCAGAGAAAACATTATCCCCCACTTTATGTTTAAGTAAAGAAGGTACAAGAAAATAATGAATTGGCTAGGGATTTAGCTCAGTGGTTCTGCTGTCTGCCTCGCAAGTGCAAGGTCCCGAGTTCAATCCCCAGTACCAAAAAAAAAAAAATAGTGAATTGTCACATTGGTAATAACTTACTGAGATAAGAACTCAGGCCCTTTGATTAAAGTTTTGTCTTCTACCTGAACTGCCTTGATCTGATGTTTGCTAATAACTAAATTTACATGCTGTGCTAGTATTTGTGGAAAAAACTGAAAGCTTTGTTCAAGACTTAAATCAATTAAGCTTTTTAGGAAAGAGATGAATCATTCCCAAAAAACTGAATTTTTATTTTTAAAATTTTCTTAAATTTTTAGTATTTTCATATACATATATAACACATTTTGATGATATACACCCTCGTCCTCCCACCTCACCTCTCCCCTTATCCACTACAATCCCACCACTCCCCTTACCTCCTCTCTCCCTCTAGTCTCCTTTATATCATGCCATTTTGTTGTTGCTAGAGTCTATATGTTAGAGAAAACATGCAATACTTGTAGAGGTCTGGCTTATTTCATATAACAGGATGATCTCCAGGTTCCATC